AAGGTTTTAGGGTTTTTAATGTTTTTGTGTATTAGGATATTATCAGGTTTTAGGGTTTTTAATGTTTATGTGTGTTAGGATATTATAAGGTTTTAGGGGTTTTAATGTTTATGTGTGTTAGGATATTATAAGGTTTTAGGGGTTTGATGGTTTTGTGTGTTAGGATATTATAAGGTTTTAGGTTGTTTTTGTGTATTTTGGGCTAGGGTTTTAGTAGTTTCCATTTTATCTTCCATTATCCCAATGTACCCATAATGTAAAAGGGTAGTTTCCCAAAAGGGCCCCAAAATGGTAGTTTCCCAAAATGGGGGGAGGGGAACCCCAATATACCTTAAGCCCCAAAACGGTAGTTTTCCCAAAATGGGGGGACCCCAATAATACCCTAAGTCCTAAATGGTAGTTTTCCAATTTTGGCGGGGACTCCAACATAGACCCGCAAATACTATTAGTATTGGGACCCCCAAATTACTGTTGGTCTTCGTGTTGCTTACCTGACCTGACGGCTGCTGGCGACCCTGCAGGATCTGAGCGATTGCTCTTTCACGTGGTCACGGCCGAGGAGAAAGTGGCCTCGGTGGAACAGGTGGGGGTTTCCCAAAATTAGGGGTTTCTTTAAAGGGGCTTATAGGGGGATATATACAGTAATTAGGGGTTACATAGGGATAATGGAAAAGAAAATGGAAGCTACTGTTTAGGGTTTCCCAAAATTAGGGTTTTTATAGGGACTATATAGGGTTACAGCGGGGTTATGTAGGGGTAATGGAAAAGAAAATGGAAGCTACTATTTGGGATTTAGGGTTTCCCAAAAATAGGGGTACCATTTTTGGAGGGTCCCTATTTTGAGGTCTACATTGGGGTCCCTTTATTTTGGGAAACTGACAGGTCCTGGTGGAAATTCTGCCACCTCTGAGAACCCAGCTGGTCATGCACTGCAACGCAACGCTGCAAGCCCACATCAAGAGCCCCCTGGTGTGAACAATGGGATGCCTGGCTCTTGTTAGCTAGGAATGATAGAATGGATCCTCATAGTAGTCACTATTATAACCCATTATAGCAGTTTCCATGTTCTTTTCCATTCATTCATTCCCAGCTAAAGGCCAGATGGTTGCTCCCTGAGGAAGCATCAGACCCAAGCAGCGCCCCAGGTTTGATCAGCTATCGAAAAAGCTCCGGCGCAAGGAAGACCTTGGCAAGTCCTTTCAACTTTGCACCATTCTACTTGGAGGACCGTTGGATGGGATGTCAGACCAATCCATCCCTTCGGACATGTGACATGTGGGCAGCATTTGTAGGAGTTCTTGGCCACATGGGCAGGGCCCAACGTGCCAGAGAGGCCTTGGATCATAGTTTACATGAATCAGAATCCATGCGACCAGCTGCATCAGGTTGGTGTATATGGATACTGATGTTCTCCTGCAAGCAGACGTGGCCGAGCTTGCCAAGATGGATCTGGGAGGCTATCCAGTTGCAGCCGTGGAGGACTGTTCGCAGCATTTCGTTCCTTTTCTGCAAAAAGAGCTTGCGTGGTGCTACCACCAGATATCAGATCAGCGGGCAGCTAAGGACTTGTACATAGACTTCGAAGATGCTTGCTGTAAACAGTGGATTCACTTGCTAATTCCCTTTCTCTGGTTGCTTCAATGTGCAAGAAACATTGGCCTCAAGGAGTTGTCGGACTTGGGCCTTAAGCGTGCCGGCGGGATCCTCAGAGATGTTGACTATCATGACCAGCCATCCAGCCTTGAGCTTCCAATCGGCCCCATGTGTGGAGCAGTTGCCTAGGTCTCGAGCCTGCCGAATGCGTATTCAACCGTGGTGTGTTTGTCATGGATGTTCGACGCTGGCGAAAGCTTCAAATAACTCAAGAGATTGAGCGTTGGATGGCCCGGTACCGCTCAGCAAAGAAGGACATCATTGCCAACTTTGTCTTTTTTTCTGTGCTGCTACAAAGAGGCAAGCTTCATAATGCAGGACTTGTACAAGTTTGGGCTGTCTCAGCCTCCCTGGCTCCTCGCGCTACATGACAGATATCGCCGTCTGAGTGCCCTTACTGAATAAGCTCAGGCCCTCAGCAAGGCCTTGTAGTCGCAAAGAGATGCGTTTCAGGTGAGAGATGGAACTGTCGCGGCCTTGGCCGTGAGACTCTGTCCATGAAGGACAGCAGACAGGGGCAAGGAAACATGGTCTGTAGAGTAGAAGGCCAGCCCGTCTCAGCAAGCTGCCAGCAACATGGCGCGACCAGGAGCTCAAGGAATTGAAGTCTGACTTGAACATGGACTTCAGAACGCTGCAGAAGGCCGGAAGAACACAGAAACACGACTCTAGACTGTACACAGAATTTGGCCGAGCATTCTGAGGCAGGATTACGGCCTGCCGGTGAACAGGTGCAGCCATACCTTGCGCCCAGCACCCGAAGATACGCTTTTGGGCAACAGTGCCATGGCATTTCAGCCGGCTGCGTGCAAACTGATGCAAGGTCATGCTCTGCAGATGCCATGCTTCTCCACTTCAACGGAAAGCTGAAGCCCTGGCAGGCTGGCAAGTGGGTGTGGAGCTGAGGAGCCGTGCTGCACTTTTTGTCTTGCACTGATAAAGGGCAGGGGCCTTACCCCGAGCAATTCAAGTCAGTGACATTGTGAGGCTCGCCGACAGCGGGCTCCGATTTGCCTGCTAAATCGTAGCGCCTTCCCTGAACTGGAGCGGAAAGAGGTCTCCGGCAAGACATTTGTCCGTTGTGCAGACTTATGGTCAGAGACTTGGAATCAGACGGCGCAGAGGGCATTGTTTATTCTTGTGCTGCTGCAACTGCCGTATGACAGCAAGGTCTCACTTCTTGTCACCAGATGCGGCGCACCTCCTTGTAAGGGCTGCGGGCGCCGCCACGCCCGGCTCGTGATTGGGCAAGGCAGAACTCTGAGGACATGGCCACAGCAGCCACATACTTGGCAGAAGGCTTCGGCGTCGACAGCTGCTAGGATTCCATGCAATGCGATGAACCGCCACGAACCAGCAACCTGGCCGGCCAAACGGAATGCGAGCAGGGCAGCAGCATTGCATGATCTCTCCGGCCATGCTCATCCTGGATTCTCACCGCACTGCAAGTGCGTGGGTGACCAGAACTGCCAAAAAAGCGGGGGGGCAACTTGACGCAGATTGCTGCTACATCAGACATTTCCATTTTGAGCAGCGACTTGCATTATGAAGGCTTGGAGATCTGTCTTGGAAAGTGTACCTGAACGCAGAGCTTCTTTGCTGTCTTCCAGTTGGCATCCTCAGAACTGGTGGAATGAGCAAGCAGCTGGCACAAAGGTGCGTAGCTAAAACAGTGATAAAAATGTCAATCAGATGAATCCGCTGTTCATTGCTTTCTTTATTCTGCATCCCAAAAGTGCTTTAGCTTGCCATGAGTTGCCATGGATCTGGTCGTGGCTGGTCTGCACTTCTGTCATGCAGACATTGGTGTTGCAGTGCTGGCGGGTGAAACAAACTGTGGATGATGACACGTGAGCTGTAGTCTGAACCCCTTAAAGGGGGGCTTTATAGGGGACTATTATGGGGCTTTAAGGGGTATGGGATATACTAGGAGTTTAGATTATGGTTCACATGAGAGTAAGGCCGATTTGCTGCTCCTAAGTAGTCTGTTTGCTTACAGTCAGATCCCTAGCTGGTACCCATGCCGCTGGTCGCTGTTGCTTCGGCAAATTCCCCTGCTGCACACCGGGGAGCTCTACCACAGCATTCAGCTCATAGCAAACAAACCTGAAAGTCCCAGACTGACTTGAGATTACCCAGCGTCGGCAAGAGACATGTAAAAACTGAAAAACAGACAGAACATGTTTGGGCGCTGTCAGCAGATTGTGAGGGAAACGAAGCGTCAGCAGCCTCATCGAAGGACTTGACACTGCTTGGCGTGTGTTATCTAGCCAGGCATCCTCCAAAGCTCCGCAAAGGAAACAAAGCGTTAGTAAAAGCTTTGCCTGATGCCTTGACACGGAATTCTGGTCAGCCACTCGAGAAGCGGAGTGGAAGAAGAAGAGCACAGCATAGGCTGGCACGACACTTGCAGAATAGAGTTAGGGCAGCCATTGGCAGTCCTTATCATGAAAGAGCAAGGTGTGACGACAATGAATGCGCAGGAGGGAGGTAGCCTGGAATGTGTATGGTAGTTTCTCCAAATAGGGAACCCCAATATAGACTCAAAAACATAATACCCCTATCTACAGTAACTTGTGTGTGGGTTCAGGTTTTGTGGCACTTGATTCTTGCGGATTCTTTGCTGCCGCGCCCAGGCCGAAGCTGTTCGAGGCAGCAACTCGGCGTAGTTATGTGAGCCATAGTTGGGCTCCTCGAAGAAGGTGGGATTATACAGGGGACGACGAAAGGGGTTATTAAAGGGGATACTAGGAGTTTAGATTATGGCTCATGTCATGTCAAGCATTTGTGTTTGCTCTCTTTGCATGCCTTGCGTGCGAGGGTGCTGAGTGAACTCTGTGCCATCCAGCAAGCTTCAGCAGCCCTCATCGTCAGTCAGGTATGGCAAGGATGGCCTGTGGGTGCCGCTAGATTCACAGGCTGGCTTCAGTGGCAGCCTCATGGGTCCAGTGTTTAAGGTACAGGGTTTACGATTAGGTTTAGGGTTTATGGTTTAGGCTTTCTTGTCAAGCCAGGAGAATTAAAATTTGCACTATGCACCGAGCGTCCTGCAGAGCACATCCAGGAGTTCAGGCTTCAGAGCGAATGGTAATTTCCCCAAATAGGCCAACCCCAACATAGAGCCAAAAGCTCTTACAATCCTTAATATAATAGGGACCCCCAGGAAAGGGTATCCCTGAATTTGGGAAACCCTAAACTCTAAATAGTAGCTTCCATTTCCATTAGTACATAACCCCTAGACGCCCCGAGAAAAAAAATACTTTTTGGGAAACCCCCAAAACAATAATCATTCTTCTAGGGACACCCGAAGGTACCCCCGATCTTGGGAAACCTTAAACCCTATGAATATACATATTATCCTTACATATCCGTCATATATCCCTTAAGGTACCTCGAATTTGGGGCAACCCCTAAATCCCACGAATTCCGTTATGCCCCCTACAAACCCCTTTTAAAGGTACCCCTAATAATGGGAAACCCCCAAATCTCCAGAGAACCGATGTGACAGGCCACAGCACTTTCCGCCAGCGAGGCTTTCTGCTTCTCCAGCTTCTATTCATAGTAGCAACAACAGTAAAAACAGCAAAAACAATTGTAGTTATTATGATGGTATTAGTACTGCAGGTAATAATAGTAGTGATAGTAAGAAGAGTAGAAACACTAATATTGTTTATCACTATTATTGCTACTATGATTGCTATTACTGCTATCACTCTCACAGGGGATGTGCGCAAGAACTAGAAACCAGAACTTTGAGTTCTATCACACATGCTCACACACTCTGGGTGCAGCATTGTCTTTGTCTTCCGTCCGGTGCAGCAGCCGCAAGGCTCAAACTCTCAAAGAGAGCTGACATAGGTTTGATTCAATAAGCGGTGAACAGGTACCGGTGGCCGCACGGCCGAAAGAAGCCGTTTGGCCACAATTTTCCAACTCTAGAGCCTCACGTCATCAAAATGCAGGAGCACGAAGTAATGACGTGGCAGGCGCCAGCAGAGAGCGAGAGACATAGAGAGGGCAAAAGCTGTTGTGGGTAAGCTGCAGAAATTATCTGAAATCGCATATTTCTGCACAGACAGATAAGTCACGGCAACAACCCTTCCATAGCAGGCTTGGACAGTGCTGGGGATGATACTGGTGAGCTTGGTCCTGCTGTTCCTGGAGTATGGCTCTCCCGAGCAGATCATGCTGGGTGCTTTAGTCGTTCTTTGGAATCTGGGCATTGTCTCGACAGTGGACGCATTGGATGGCTTCTCAAACACTGGGCTTGTTTCCATTGGCGCGCTCTTTATTGTGATGCAGGCAGTGGACAAGTCAAGGGTGGTAGATTATGCTGCTCGTCGACTTTTGGGGGCGCAGATTCGAGACAGAGTAGTGTTGATTCGGATATGTTTTCTCGTCTTCGCCCTGTCCGGATTTTGCAACAACACTCCACTGGTCGTTCTGTTCATGCCTATTGTCCGAGACTGGGCAAGAACACATCAGAGAGCGCCATCCACTTTCCTCATCCCTCTCAGCTACTCAGCAATTATGGGTGGGATGCTCACCACAATAGGAACCAGCACGAACTTGCTGGTGAACGGACTGCTGGAGAAGGAAGGCTACAAGCCCTTTGGGTTCTTTGAACCAGGAATTGTTTCTTTGCCCATGGGCATCCTGAGCTTTATCATCATTATTGCTCTTGGTCCGCTTGTTCTGCCCGACAACAAGGGTGGCTTGTTCCGAGAGGTTCGAGAACATGGTGACAACTTGGTCACTGCCCTTGATATTGCAGAGGCACACGACTTCTTGAGTAGCATCCCTTGGGTGCAGACTTGCCTCTGAGCATGACTTTCCAGGACTCACCCTGGGTGGGGCGACCGGCAGTTGATGTTCTCATCTCCATGGGACTACCACCCAGCAGCTTGCTAAAGATCCGCCGTCGAATGCACCTTACTTGCACTAGTATGTAGACATACTAGCCATGCTTTGCAGAGAGATTGGGGCTCCATGCTGTCTGAGGCCCTCTGAGAACAAATCCCCACTGCATTTGACTGTTGGGTCTGCCCAGCCTCGGGAGCCTCTTGGCAAGTTCTGAAGGTCCTACCTTTCTTCGGAATGTAGCCACATTTGCCCTGATATGTCTGCGCTGTGCTTGAGGTTGATTCTTCCTCCAAGTGAAGCTTCCACCAGCGATGAATTGGAGCACAGCTTCCAGGTTCGTTTCCTGAACCTAGACATTGAGGCGACATGCGAAGGAGATCCTGACATCATGGAAGTGCAGCCTGTGCGTAACACGGATGCTGGGCCCAAGGGACGTCTTGCCAAGTCACCCAAGTTCAGTGCCCACAGGGCTTGTGTAAGCACCTGTAAAGTCAGTGCGAGCAAGATTGCTGCTCCTTGAACATGGGTGGGGATACACCCTTTTTGGGGGACACCCCTACAGCTACATCATTGCAATAGCAATCAATCTCTAAGGAAATCCAGAGCTCTCTTGCTGAACTAAATCCACCGAGAGAGGGGTGGCAGTAATGCGCATGGCAATGCAAGCCAAGCCATCACTTCTGAGCAACCCTGAAAACGCTGACACGAACTAGATAACTAGAAAGCTCGACTAGTCGTTGCCACCAATGGACATCACTCGTTCCCGTAGCTTCGAAAAGGTTGCACAATGGCTTGTCATGCCACCAATGCCAGAAGGCACTTGGGAGTGCCTTTGTGTTTCTGTATCAATAACGTGCATCGATAACAACATGACTCAGGCCCATGCATGCTGTCGAAACGATGCACCCAGCAACATGGTGGATCCTTGATGGCCTCAGGCTTCATCAGCTCTTGAACCAAAGCGGAATATGGAGGAAAACTGGAGGAGGAAGGTGTCAGAGGAAGCGTTTCTGACCTGCATCAGTAGCTGCCTGCTTGTCGAAGATAGCCAGCGTGTGCTGTTGGGACCTGATGCTTCAAGGAGTGCCCAGTGATAGGCCGAACTAATTGACACGGGCTGCCAACAAACGCAACTCTGTCTAAACAGCAAGGACGAAAGAGCAAGCTTAAACAAAAAGATATGCTCGGATCATCATCTCCGAAAAGTGGCCCCTGCTCAAGAAGAACACAAGATGTAATTGTTGTTGGTGATAAACCTCAATGTAACAACACAGCTGAGGAAGCCGCGCAGGCCGGTGACTTGCTCTTGCTCTCCTTGCCGAGGGACCGAGTGGTCGAAGTGATGTCCAAGCAGGAACGTGGAATACGCGTGCGCAGTATGCACGCCAGCCAGGCTGTATCTGGACAGTCTGAATTCGTGGAGTTGGTCCTAAGTGCCAGTTCTCCTTTGCTTGGCCAGCCAATTTGACCCTTGGCGAAACCTTGGCCTCACCTGCCAGCTAGCCTTTGCATGTCCACTTACCATCTTAAGCATATAGCTATGACATTTTTGCCCAATGAGCAAGAAACAGGCAATGCTGCACAAATTGTCAGCGATGCTTACAATGCGGGCCTGATTGCTGTCAGATCTCGATACTGGGGTACGACTTTCACAACCAACGAGAAGCCAGATGACTCTCTCGCAGACAGCCCTTTCCGCCGAAAATCCTCGGCTACCTTCATGGCTGGCGATGTGATACTTGTTCTGGCTGGAACAGAAAGCTCCTATCCCAATTCTCATTTCCTCCTTGTCACGCGGCTGGGTTCCTTGCCGAAGCCCACCAGCTGGTATGACTTGATCCCCCTTGTCGTCTTTGTTCCAGCGCTAGTACTGACGTCGCTGGATATGATCACCATGGTGCAACTCTCGGTGACCTTATCATGTGTTTTCATTTTGGGAGGTTGGATCAAAGCTGGAGACATCAGAACTATAGTGGACTGGCAGCTGCTCATCCTCATCGGTTCAGCTTTGGGCGTTGCACAGGCCATGGCTAAATCCGGCCTCGCGGCAGGCATCTCCAGGGGCATCATCGCTACAGGATTGCCAAACTGGCTGGCGCCTTCGCTCCTGTACTTGATCGTGATGGTCACCTCCTCAGATCAATGAAAAGCACCAAAGACAGGAATATGATGGGGCTTGATCCTACATGTCATGGTCATGCCCTAAGGTGACGACAGAGATGGTAACAAACAACGCCGCTGCAGCACTGGGTGTCCCTCTAGCCGTTGACCTCGCAGAGAAGATGGGCTTGTCATCTCCTCACCCCTTGGTGGTCGCCTTAATCATTTGGGGTGGTTCCCAAAATTTGAGTCCCATCTTGATACCCCCAAATACTATGTGCCGTAATAGAATCTATAACCAAAAGGGTCCATAGTTTTGAGAACAAGCATTGGCCAGCGCATAGAGCCGTGGAATGGGAATTGTTCATGTTTGGCGGCTGGCAAGCATCTCGGCAGGTCATGGTCGTGATGATTGCTGCATCCACTTCGTTTGCCAGCCCAATCGGATATGCGACAAATCTGATAGCCAAAAGCTTAGCACTTCTCCCGGGGCATTGCAATAGCTTTGCGCAGTGCGTTGGCCAGTGTTTGGGCCTTGAAACTCAGGTCATGGGCCCCGGAGGTTACTCCTTTCTGGATTTCTTGAGGTTGGGGAGTTTGTTGGATTTGTTCTGGCTGGTCGGGGTCAGCTGTCTCCTGCCATGGCTGTGGCCCATGAGCTGATGAGCTGACCCAGCTCGATTTGGTTCATTTGCATTTGAAATGCAGAACTTTTTATTGTAAATTCGTGATATTCTTTTTTCATAGAGAATTCGGCCAGTTTTCCAACGCCCAACGGCACCGAATAGGAAGGGACCAGCATTGGTTAACACCACGGTGCGCTGGGCATCTCTGAGCTGTGACCGGTAGGGCCTAGTGAGAGCAAAGCTCACTTAATCCCATGCTGTAAAGGCTGCACACTCAATAGTCTGACGAGGAGGGAAGCTAGTTTCTTCTCGAGGGTCGCAGAGGCACATGGAATTACATGTGCGCAGGCTTCGCAAGGAATCTCGCAGGTGGAAATTTTGATCTTGCCAAACACAAAGGTCACCCCGGCTGAGCTTAAGGTGCCGTATGATCTTACCATGCGCGAGACGCTTGCCGACAACCTCCGCAGCTTCCATAAGGCAATTGTGATGATTAAAAGTCTTAGTATATTTGGTGTCTGAGGCTAACCAAGGACTGAAAGCCTTTTGCTGCCGCAGTTTGCAGCGCAAGATGTGCCAAACTGACCTGCTGTGTGGATGAGTTGCCTGCCTAATCTTAGAACTGCGAACCAGACCATGGGCCGAACAGCCCAACCGTGAAAAAGTGATACGTTTGCATGCTCAGCAAACATGGTTTTGTGGCGCAGCGGGTCCGATTGCCTCCTGACATTTGTGTTTGTCAGGCCACATCAAGTCTCAGCTACACCAACCCGTGCAAGGCCACAGCGAATGCATGATCATGTAGTAGAGCTTTTGAGTGTGATTCACATGGCTCGTACAGCTGGGCTTGCCCGCTTGCCTGCTGCAGTGTTGTAAATCTAGTGAATTCGGGACCAGCGCGGCAGCCAGTGGAGCTGGCATACTGAACAAACCGCCACATTCCTTCAAAAGCTCCTGGGCCCGCTTTACGCAGAAGCTGGTACACAGCATCATGTCGCGGCATCTGAAGTCTCAGTGCAGCATGCATCTCTGCTGACCAGGCTTGCTACGCGATCACAAGCTCGCTAACCAATTGTTGATGGAAGCCAGTTCTAGCCATGACACAGTAAGTTTGGCTGAGGACTATCATGATTCTTGGCATGTTGTGAAATTCGCATGCAAGCCACAAACGAAAGCCCACAACGGTTTCAAGTCAAGTCAATCATGCAAACACAAGCAATTGCACATCACCGCATGTTGTCAAACATTGTATGAAAGCAGATAACAAAAGCAATTTGCAACAGTTTCATGCCAAAACATGCAAGCACGTGAAGGCAACTCCACGCATCCAAGTCCTGAGAGCATGCATCTGATGGCTGCACAAAAAGATCGAAAAGAGTGCATAAGGATTTCCGCAGCTTTAGTTCATGTAGAGCAGCTGACACAAATTGAGCATGCATTGACGGATACCGCTACAGCTACCTTTCGCACCAGAACTAGCCTGCGCTGGGTTGCCGTTAAGGAATTCAGTTTAGGTTGCCATGTTGAGGTACCCTATTAATTACTATATACCCATTATGGTAACTTACTTTCAGTTCCTTAACAGCAACCCAGTGTGTTTGGAAAGGCAGGCTCCAGCCTGAGAACGCCTTGCAGCGCTTGACAACAGCATGGGAATTGCTGCTTTGAGCCCTCCAGTTTTGGTCACAACCTTGGCAGCAGACTTGCTGCTTCGCAGAGAGGGTGCAGGCCCTATCGAAACATGCTATTTTAAGATCATTTTCCGAGAATATAAATGTTGTTGAAATATTTTCGGATTGTGTTAATCATTATAATGTAGATGAGGAAGGCGATTTAGCAAAGACATCGATCGAACGGGCAAATACTTCCGGAACAAAGAAAAAACAGGCAACCAAGATCTCAACAAGCAGAAGATAAATAAACAATCCTATCCTAAATTAATGGAGAAATAATCAAATAATGGTCGATGAATGCAATTAACGAAGAAATAAATCGAAAAGAAAAAAAAATCTTAAAATAACATAGGAATAATGAAAATACTATCAATTTCATGATATAGATCGATATTGAGATGAATATAAAATTAGAGAAATGGAGAGATATAAATATACGGAGACGGATAAATATAGATAGATTGGTAATAAATATATAGATATAGAAATAAATAAATATGAAGATAGAGAAAATATAAAGAAATTAGAAAATTAATATATAAATGAATAATGATAAATTTGATATTTGGACCTGGTATAGATGAGAGCAGGATTTAAAATTAAATCTTGAATCTTAAAGATGCCTGAATTTGAGCTGATTGGATTTCAAATCTAATGAATATATATATCTATAAAGGAAATATTCATTATAATGGAATTAAAGGTAATCTAGATAGGATGATAGATTCTTATATAAAAAAGAGATATAGAATTCATATATATATATAATATATTTGATTATATTTATGAAAGAATATAGCATAAAAGCTTCGAGGAGAGGAGGATACGGATTGCATGATTTTCTAAATTTGCAGGCAAATTCGAATTTGATATATATTTCGATAATATGGCACAAGCCCTCGCAGATATTTTGGCCGCGCGCGAATTAATTTTTCTAATTCTCTTCTAAAATGCCTCTTGGGAGATTTTTAGGGATTCTAAGAGCTTGGAGATCTTTGAATCTTTCGAAAAAGCGAGAGGTTATAAATTCTTGGAGCATCTAGGCGCGGGAGGAGTGATTTAAAATCTTACTTCCGGAACGAATTTCTGCGTTATTTATCTCTCTTTCATTATTTGCGCGGCTGATTCGATGAACCCCATAGATTTGGAATGAGAAATCTAGATTATTCGTATCTCTCTAGAGGGATTTATGCGCTCTCTCGAGCCGGCGCGCAGATAATCTAATAGAGATATATTAGGCGGAAAGATTGGATTGGATCGTGCGAATAAGAATCTCTCGAGGTCTCGAATTATTTCTCTTTCTATAGTTGTTTGCGTGGCGGACCGGCGGAATTTATAGTTCCGACGGATATTTAAAATCTTTCAGCTAATTTCTGGAATGGTCTTCCATATGATTCATCTTTCTTGGGTCGTTACTCGGGAGACCGCAAAGATCCGGGAAGGAGAATCTAAATTTTTCAGAATTTATCGGAAGGCCGCGTCTCTCTATGAGGAAGATTTATGCGTTCTTGAGCCTCGCGTAGATAGTCGAGATATATGACATAGAAAGAGTTATTTGGAGACGATCAAGAATCTGGCAAGATTTCGAATTATTTCTCTCTCTGCGGCTATCTACGCGGCGGTTCGGCGGAACTTGTCGACCCGGGGCGGATATCTGAAATTTTTCAAAATTATATATTGACCATCTTTATCATATATAATCTTGGATATTGATCGTATATCGGGCGCCACGTGCGTTTTCATATTTTGATTATTCATCGGAATCTCCGATACGGATATTCTCAAATAGATATTTTCCGTTCTTATAGGCAGCGGATCAATTCTAATATTCAATAATTTTGAGAATAGATGATTTAATTTTTTGGGAAGAAGATTGGATTCTTTTCAAGGATCTAAATTAAATTGAAATATTATTTGAAAAAATTGAATTTTGAAGATCCGAAAAAAAAAATATATATATCCGATATAATAGATAAATATTTATTTGGAAAATAATCTCGAATAGATATGAGTTGAATTTGAAATCTTTATATAGATTAATCTAAATTTTCTAAAATGATATGAGTCTAATTTCTTCGTTTTGAATTTCTTAATTATTTTTTATTTCATATCAATCGCAAATAGCAGCTTATCTTAAATGAATAAATATATTAAGAATTGATCCGCTATCTATAGCAGCGACAAAGATATTTATTTGAGAAAATCTAATAAGAATTCCGATGAATTATCAATATTTTAAGATCATATGATATAGATTCTGAAAGATTTTAGATTTCCATCCCGAATCTTCATGAATCGCCGCGCAGATTATCAAAGAAAAAAAAATAGCTTGAAATCTCCAAAGATTATTGATTATGCGGTTATTGGATCGAGCGACCCCCATATCTTTCTATTTTATATATCTCTCTTAGATTATCTGCGCAACGACTCGGAAAATATATAAATCCCCATTCATAGAAATATCTAATCTATAAATTCTAAAAAATTTTGATTCTCCATCTCGGAATTTACGCGCTCTTCCGATTAATCGCATCGATAATTACGGAAAGATAAATTACGCGGAATATATAAAATCGTATATGAATCTTGACGAATAATCTATATATAAGTCCGTATATAATCAAATACGATCAATCTAATAGATTCTGAAAGATTTTTAGATCTCCGCCTCGGATCTATATCGAAGCGCCGCAGAGAGAATTCGAAATCTCGAGAGATTTAGAGTCGCGCGGCCGCCCCGTATACAATCCAATATATTTTTCCTTCATTGCTGATTTTTGGATTCTCTTCGCGACGGTTCGTGAGAACGTATAAATTATCTTCGATGCAAACGGCCAATCTATAAATTGGCGGAAATATATATCTTTGCCAAATAAATATCTAGATAATCAAAAAGAAATAGATCATATAGAAATTCGCTCCAGAGATCAGTTGCGCGATCCAAAATCTTCGAGATATTTAGACGTGCCCCCCCGTATCCAAAAATCTTTAATATTTTATAGTCCTTCGAAAACTCGCAGAATCATAGAAAATATTTCAAAAATATCGAGAAAATCTAATACGCGCGCGAAAGAATAATCAAAAAAAGAATATATCGTAATATTGCGCAATATCTTTCTATATCTAAATGAGATGAAAATAATTCGTATTTCGCATATCTTCATCAATTTGCCTTTAGCAATATAAAGTATATTTCTCAATAATATCTATAATCATAAATTCGATGAATAATCAATTAGAAATTCGAATGAAAATCATCTTCCTATGTATCTGAAAATAATAAATCATCGCCCCAATTTTTCGTTCCCAGCCGCCGCGCAAATAATCGAAGAAAAAGAAATATATTAAATTGAAATCTAGATTTTTTTTCTATCTATTATCCGTCTCCGATCCAATCCCTCCATCTCATATATCTCTATAAAATATTTGCGCGGCGGCTCTAAAGAGTCCGCAAATCCCCGTAAATGAATAGAGCTAGCCCATAAGCTCAGAAAATTTTGAATTTGCCATTCCGACCAGCAGGCACTCACTCCGAGATCAAACTAAAAGATTTTAGATCTCCGCCCCATCCCGGGTCTCCGCAATCTTCCGAGCCGTCGCGCCAGCAACCAAAGAGAAATAGTACGAAATCTCGAAAACTTAATGGTCACGCTGTCTCCGTATCCAGCCCAATCTTACCCCTTAACAAACACGACCAATGGAGGAATTCTAGAAAATATTGATTCTCCGTCCCCCGTCTATACATTCCACGAATAAGGCACCCTCATGCAGCCCGGTCTTTCCGCCTCATTTATTTCTCTTGGGCTATCTGCGCGGCGGCTCGAGTGTAAATTCGGAAAGATTTTGATTCTCCATCCCGGGTCTATCCGCTCCGCCGAGCAGCCACGCAGACAGCCAAAGAGATATAAATCACGCGGAAGACCGGTCCGGAGGCAAGGGCCGCGCGACCAAAAATCTTCAAGACCTTTGGTCACGCCGCCCTCGCCAAAAATCCCGAAGACTTTAGAGCCTCTAGCTTTTCCGAAGGGATCTAAAATCTCCGAAATTTTAGAGTCCCTAGGGATCCTGCAGGAGGCGTTTTAGAAGTGAGCCGGAAAAGCTAGGCCACGCGCAAGGCAAATGGCCGCAAGTGGCCGCGCCGTATTCTTGAGGTATTTAGACCTCCAAGTGTTGCGCGTCATTCTGGACCTATCGAGAGCTCAGCGCGTAAGTTGTTTGTTGTCTTTCTTAGATAGCAAAGCCTGTCAAGCTGCTTTCCATAAAGTCGGCATATACGTAAGAATGAGTTTGTTGCGCTGTATCGTGTAACCGAAAAACACCTACAATCCAGCATGGCTGCACGACAAAAAACGTGCACGCGCAAGGGCTGCAGCGATGCCCCTGTTAAAACCAGCTGGCCTAGAAAACACATATTAGAGTATATTCTGGCATTTTAGAATATTTTGTAGTATATGAATATACATCGGCGGTCCGAAAGTTTTGAGCTACGGGGCC